TACGACTCTATATATGATCTGCAACTTTAATTTTCCACTGGTACAAGTTTCTACTTTCACTGGCGCAATTTTTTTTTTATTTTGCATTACTTTTGTTACGATTGTACATGAGTTTTAATCGATAATTTTTCATACAATTCTATTGTGTACATGGATTTGCAATGTAGGATTCTACATAAGTTGCAATGGATCATTTTTAATACAATTCTACATTTTTTGCAATGGTTATAATTTTGCCTAGGATTCTACATGGGTTTGCTAATTATTAATTTTTTATAGGATTTGCTACATGGGTTTGCAATTAGGATAGGATTCTACATGGGTTTGCAATGATAATTTTTTTTTAATGGCGTGCCCTTAACTGGTCGCCTTTATTTTGTATCCTTTGTTTTTCCAAAGGTGAATTTCCCTTCAGAGATTTAATTAATTAAATACACTTCACACGAAATAAAGTTTGCTGGAAGATATACAGCAAACGATAACTGTAAAAACATGATTACGTGGAAAGAACAAGAGTTGGTACAGTAAAGGCAAGTAAGTAAGTACATGTAATGTATCGTATTGGCATAACGCTATATCCGCGGAGCAGATAATGTGGCTGTAGAGGTAGTCTGCAGTGCAGCTAATGTGGACGTAGATGTTGATTGAGATAATTGTCTAATATAAAATAGAATTTAAAAATTTAGTTTAAAAAGCTGTTGCATATATAAATAAAGTTTATTTTTCTAAATTTGGAATATGTTTAATTAATTAATTTTTTAAGTTTATGTTTAATAAATTTTTTAAGTCTGTATTCAATAATTTTATTCATTTGATAAATACATGTATGTCTTTATTTTGATATGTTTAATATAATTAGAAATTCATTATTAATTAGATATGTAAACTATAAATTCATATATAATATTTGAAAATATATGTGAATATTTAAATTTTTATCTTCTCCTTCCTCTCCTTCAATCTCTTTAATATCAATATGTGTATGTGTGTACACGCGCGCACATTTGTACGTATTTATTTAATTATTGGATAGTTGAGAGTACTTAATTGATAAAAAATTATGACAATAATAATCCTTGTTTTTTTTCTTATTATTTACTCAGATTTTTTTGTCTATCTTATAAGATAAACACTTTAGAGATTGAATATTTCAAGTAAACTAATTGTAAGTAAATTTCACATTAATGCATATAGATGTTTAATCATGAATGTACTGAATAAGTACACAAGACGAACAGTGAGTGAGTGAGTGAGAATGAGAGAGTGTGTGTGTGTGTGCGTGTGTGTGTGAGAAAGAGAGAGAGAGAGAGAGAGAGAGAGAGAGAGAGAGAGAGAGTTAGCCAACATAACCCCGCACGCTGCCGATCATGAATGTACTAAATAAGTACACAAGACGAACAGTGAGTGAGTGAGTGAGAATGAGAGAGTGTGTGTGTGTGTGCGTGTGTGTGTGAGAAAGAGAGAGAGAGAGAGAGAGAGAGGGAGAAGAGAGAGAGAGAGAGAGAGAGAGAGAGAGAGAGAGAGAGAGAGAGAGAGAGAGAGAGCGAGAGAGAGAGAGAGAGAGAGAAAGTTAGCCAACATAACCCCGCACGCTGCCGATATGGCGGAGCGCCACTATCGCCATCTGTTGTAAAACGTGCGAGATGGACAAAATTACCACTACATGCATCTTGCATGTGTTGTGTACGTGTGATATATGTGTGCGCATGTGTTGTATACGTGTGAATACGTGTAGCACGATACTACTATGTATGCGTGGTCGATGATGATAATGATGATGATAATGATGATAATGATGACGGGGACGTTTCTTAATAGAAATTTTTCATATTTCGACTTTGCATTTATATATCTCTGCTTACAAATCACGTAGAGCAGAAATAAAGACACTTTTATTATATAATTCGAACTCAATCTATCGATTAAGTCTAGTATAAACTCGATTGCTTCAGCCATTATTGAGGATTCGAAATATTATAAAGACTCAAATGTCCGACTCGCGTTAAGATACACGGTGTCTCCGCTACGCCCTTAACTGGTCGCGAGACACTACCGTGTCTCTTGATCCTATTGCAAACCCATGTAGAATCCTATGAAAAATTAATCATTGCAAACCCATGTAGAATCCTAGGCAAAATTAACCATTGCAAACCCATGTAGAATCGTACCCATTGCAAACCTATGTAGAATCCTATGAAAAATTAACCATTGCAAACTCATGTAGAATCCTATAAAAAATTAACCATTGCAAACCCATGTAGAATTGTATTAAAAATTATCCATTGCAAACTTATGTAGAATCCTACATTGCAAACCCATGTACAATAAAATTGTATGAAAAATTATCGATTATAAACCCATGTACAATCGTAACAAAAGTAATGAAATAAAAAAAAATTGCGCCAAGTGAAAGTAGAAACTTGTACCAGTGGAAAATTAAAGTTGCAGACATATATAGAGTCGTATAATGAATCAGTAAAAATTTAAATTTGCAAATGTAGAATCGTACCATAAAAAAACTTATCTTTTAAAAAAAAAGATAAACAAGATGCCAAGTCCATGCGCCATGTGAAAAAGAAATAAAAAAATTTTAGTTAAAAAAACTGGGAGCGCTGCTAAATAATATTCTAACAATATTAAAATTAAATTGTTACTTTTAAACTCATTACAGTTAAAATATGTTTTGTGTTTAAATTAATTAATGTTACTTTAAGGTGCATTGTAATTTTGAAACTTAGCAACGCGCCCAGTTTTTTTAACTAAAATTTTTTATTTCTTTTTCACATGGCGCATGGACTTGGCATCTTGTTTATCTTTTTTTTTAAAAGATAAGTTTTTTTATGGTACGATTCTACATTTGCAAATTTAAATTTTTACTGATTCATTATACGACTCTATATATGTCTGCAACTTTAATTTTCCACTGGTACAAGTTTCTACTTTCACTTGGCGCAATTTTTTTTTATTTCATTACTTTTGTTACGATTGTACATGGGTTTATAATCGATAATTTTTCATACAATTCTATTGTACATGGGTTTGCAATGTAGGATTCTACATAAGTTTGCAATGGATAATTTTTAATACAATTCTACATGGGTTTGCAATGGTTAATTTTTCATAGGATTCTACATGAGTTTGCAATGGTTAATTTTTCATAGGATTCTACATAGGTTTGCAATGGGTACGATTCTACATGGGTTTGCAATGGTTAATTTTGCCTAGGATTCTACATGGGTTTGCAATGATTAATTTTTCATAGGATTCTACATGGGTTTGCAATAGGATAGGATTCTACATGGGTTTGCAATGGATAATTTTTGTTAATGGTTAATAGTATCACCGCAATTGATTATTCTAATCAGTCAATTTTTAGACATAAAATATAAAATTTCTTTCTGATAAAATATCTTGTGAAATTTTCAATTTTCGGTAATATTACTTTAATACTTTTATGCACAGAATTGAAAATTGAATATTTCACAAGATATTTTACATTTTATGTTTATAAATTTACTAATTACAATAATTTATTGCGGCGAAAGTATTCATTGCATTGAAAAATGGTATCAGATATTTTTTCTTTGATTTTCATTCTCTATCGAATGGCACTAAGCATACGCGACACTTTTTTTAAGACCCTGTATATATATATATATATATATATATATATATATACACTTATATACAATATAAATCACTCGTGCGAAGAAATAACGATACATATATTAAGAAAAAACTCAGTAACATCAATAACAAAATAAAGAACAGAGAAACAAGATTAACAAAAATTATCCAAATAATATGCGGCCAACAATAAATTGTAGTCAAACCGCACGTCGGTCATCGTTCGATTCGGTCAATATGGCATTGTTAAACAACGACAAATTACATATAAACGATACCCTTGACGATTGTCTCCAAGAAATTCTTAGAGGATTATATCCGAAAATTTTACTTACAATTAATAATAAAAAATACTATTATGAAAATTTAGACATAATTGCAATTTTTGTTTATTCAAGAAATTATCTAATTATTTGTAATAGTGTAATATAATTCATAATAATATTTTATTTACTAGAGCAGATAAAGGCAGTATTACAGTCCCATTAGATAAAGAATTCTATATAAAAAAAGTTGAGAGTCTTTTAAAAGATGATTCTACTTATACCATAGTTAAATATAACCCGTTATCTAAAATAGAAAAAGAACTTAATAATTTTTAAAAAAATGGTTGAAAAAAATATCATCAATAAGAAGGAATATTATTTGTTTGGAATTTGTTGAAGGATTATTATTTGTTTTTTAGCGATTATTTTCTCTTCAAGGCCTATGAGCTTCCCAAAGTCCATAAAGAAAATATTCCTTTATGTATATTCCTATATAAAATATACTTATATGTAAGTTCGAGATTAATTTATATATGGAACTTAATAATCTCAAACGAAAAGATACAGTTCCAAAGAATTAATTTTTCGCGCTTTGGCTCTATTGGCCGATTTAAAATATCATATATTATTCTTATTATATTGTTTTGTTGTTCGTATTTCAGATGGCCTTCTGCGAAGATGTTTTATGACAAGTATAAGGAAAATGAGCAGAAAGAATCTGAAGGAAACGTACTGGAGAAGGAAGAAAACATAAATTTTATTTAAACAGGCATAAATTGTGTGAGCGAATTAAAAAATTATTTATCTCAAATACTTTTTGACCAGCATTGTGCCTGCACATTCAACGATAGTGGTATCAATATGATATACAAAACAAGAAAAATTGAAAATATTTTTTATCGTAAAAGGACAATTAAAATTTTTGAGAAAAATTGTAAACCTAAAATGTGGATAAAATATTTGTTTATTGCTGATGAAATTAAAAGTTTATTTATACAACATTCACGGTAAGATTTTTAATATATAGTGCTATTCCATTCACAGATTGATGTATAATACTTTAATATTAATTAATACATATAATTTTTAGGAAAAGTTGTTGCGATATAATCGAAACATATTGCGATATAAAAATGTCTCACTATACAAAGCTATATTCGGTAGGAACTCAGTTGGATATATTGCTAAAAACACCTGGAGTTCTACGTTTGGAAGAAATCTTTACTCTCCTGGCACAGTATTTTCAACCTAGGAAAAATGTGCGTCACTCGAACGTAAAAATATCGTTGGATAGAATCGCACAAGGTGTATTGGATTGTCTCAAAAAGATACATCCCAACCATTCAATATTCTCGACGTCCACTGCAATTTTTTCCTATTGGGAAAACAACAATATTGATGATAATCATTGGGACGAGGCAGAAAGTATCCAGATCATGGATACACTCCAGGAATATATATTTGGTAAATTAAACTTTCGATCATGCAGTAGGTACGATGCAAAATTGGAATACATGTGCATAGATAATGTAAGTCCATATGGATTATAATATATTATAATTACTAGCGACATATATATATATATATATATATATGTTCATTATATTTAATATAACTTCTCATTCTTGTTAATTAATTTCTTTATTGTGATATTTGGCACAGGTTTTACAACATAAATTTGGTCAAGAAGCAATTGTATTAACAATATATCGCAGCGTAGCTAGAAGACTTGGTCTACGTTGCGATATTCTCTTGCATATCAAGGGTATATATTGCCTATATTGGAAACCTAAATAGTAGGTAGAAATATAGGTACAGATATACAGGGTGTATCATAAGTCACGTTGCAAATTTGAAAAATGAGTTTGTCAAGTCATAATAAGTCGAAATTAGAGGATGGTAAAATTACGTTTGAGCCTTCTTTAAAAAGTTGCTTTAATAAACAGCCCAATGCTGTAGCGAGTGAGAAATTCTCTTTTAAATCATGTTAATTTAAAATAACTAAGAAGTAAAATATATAAGGCTCTGATAAATAAACACAATAAAAATCCAATAATAGGCCAGTAAGAGCGGGTGGTAAAGGCGTAAGTAAAAAACAAAAAAAAGATATAAAAAACTAAGACAAAAAATTATTTTAATTATACGTTTCGATCCTTCCTTGGGATCATCTTTAGTAACTGTCAACACAAAAATAAACAAAATATGTAACATAAAAAGTTATTTTTTAAAAAACATTACGTTATCAGAAATATCAGACAAAAAAAGATATAAATACAGAAATACGTACATAAGAAAACTCAGCAATTATATAACGCATAAAGTCATAGCCAAATCAGACATAATGACGTGCATCGCATGACAAGCCTCTCATCGATTCCAGTCGTTGAAAGACGGAAGTAATGCGTGGACATGCTACCCATAGCGATACTATTGTTACGTCCTGCGGTCTTCACGATTCTTTTCTTTCGAAGAACGCAAAGCGATATCTTGAACATCAAAGGCGGATAGAGAACGACCCGAAAAGCAAAGTAAACGTAATAAATCGTGAAATCTACGAATCTCTTTCCTTTCGGAGAGTGTAAAATGATATTCAAAATATCGCAGACCCGCAGATAAGGCACGATGTGACAGGCGAGGGAAAACAATTTTTGGTGCCTATTCCTTTCAATAGAACCCTTGAGAATCAATAAAACTTTCCGAGAACCTAAACAATCCTCGCCTGACAGATCACCGGACGCGATATCTGCTTGAGTCACAACTAGAGGAGCAATAAAATATCAACCTCTCTCTATAAGAACAAATTCTCCATTGGTCGAAACCCAGGACTCTAAACAAAGCCCGAACCAATCATATTAATTTTCAAAACCAAAGGACGCCTCCAAAGCGTCATTGAAAATTTCCTTATTCGTCGGGGATATTAACAACTAATGGAGAAGGAGGAGCAAGGAGGTTTATATACGAGTAACACCGTGCGAGCGACAAAAAACAGGCTTTTTCTCTCAATTCTTATTCATTCTCATTCAGTCAGTCTCATCCCGTTCGCAAACTTCAACTAGTTTTTTTTTGAGTGTTCAACCGAAAGAATTATTAATTCTGTTAGTATTAATTTCGCAAAACGAAATCCCAGCCGTCGTCAACCACCGAGCCACCTCCAGCTGACCAAGGTTCTTCTTGATAAGTAGTAAGTCTACCTAACACATTCACACCGATACTTCGTACAATTTCCGGGAGTTTAATCAAATCATAAAAACTAGAGTCTTTGGGTTCGCCGTTGGATTCGGTAACCCAATTATTTACCTCACACCCTTTGGTCCTCCTCCTACTTTTCTCCCAGAAATCACTCCGGATTCTCCGCAACAGCGGACGACTTCGTGATTTCTATCCTGTTCTTCCGAAATCACTCCGGATTCTCCGCAACAGCGGACGACTTCGTGATTTCTACCCTCTATTCCAGAAATCACTCCGGATTCTCCGCAATAGCGGACGACTTCGTGATTTCTATCCTGTTCTTCCGAAATCACTCAGGATTCTCCGCAACAGCGGACGACTTCGTGATTTCTCCCGCTAGTAAATTAGGAAATAAAAAGGAAAGCGAATATAAAAATATACACATTGTATATGTACGTATGTATGTATATATATATATATATATATATATATATATATATATATAGCTCCCGCGATTTGTAACAGAACCCTTTCTTTCTTTTAATCCAATTTAAACCACCCGATCTCGTAGTGGACGGACCTCAAAACCGAATATCGCGAACCGCGTTCAGGTCGTCGAGGAATCGGCGGAATCGGCGGCTGAAACAAAGAGCGGGTCGGGGTGTAAAAGACCCTACTATTATTATCATCAATAATATTAATTCGTTCGACACCCACACACCACACACGTCTCCCATTCCCACATCCTCGGAACTTCCCCAAATTCCTTCCCCTTCCTCCCCTAAGCTCCCCGATTTTCCTAGATCTCCATCCCCTGCTCCTTCGACAATCATCTTCGAGGAATCCCCTGTCTCTTCCCCGTCATCCTCCGAAGACTCGAAACCTACCGAAGAGATCGAAACGATCGATCTCACCGAGGAAGAGCCCAGGTTAACTTTAGACCAACTCCGAGCCTGGTTAATTGATCAGATCCCCAGAGTACGTGAAGTACCTGAGGATGGATTTACGATCGGTCCCGACCTCGTGGATCTAGAGGCTCTGGCGCAATTCTTAACAACTGCACATCCCGACGAATTCGTATATTGGTATCTTTCCGAGTCGGAATATCCTCTGCTCGTCCCCGTCCAACTCCTATTTAAAAAACTTTATCCCCCCTCTACTGTCCAACTCGAAGAAATCCAATGACCTTTCACACATACCTATACACGCCTACTCTTAAAATTAACCTTATTGCTAAATTGTAATGTCCAATCGGGGTATTAATATTAAAATAAATATATATATATATATATATATTCTCACACACCCTGTCCGTTATAATCCCGATTGATGACCTCTGCACTTATGTAACACCCGCGAGATATACACACACACTCACATTGTGCATATAAGGTTTTCGTGTAGTTTAAGTATTAGATATGTAAATACCTTTTCTTCTTTTCTAATTTCATTAAAAATAATTATATTAAACTAGATTTTTGGGATGAATCTGGACTTAATTATTTAAACAAAAAAGACAACCACTCTCATTCCTTTCCATCCTGGAAGTCGCACAGGGTCCCATCCCACGCAAAAGAGATTTAATTCTCTTGCTGAAAAGGGACCACCGAGCAAACTGCCCTTTAAATTGAGTAAGAGTCACCCTTGCGGTCGCTGACCTATTGCGGGGCCCTTCGTACGTTTGCTCGGGTCGAACAGACGCACCGTCTAGTGTCGTTCGACATCAGTATAGTTACGTTCTTCCTTCGACTCTTCCTTCTTATTGAGTCGGGACGTAACACTATGAAAAAAACACTTAAAGAAATTGAGTGATATAGCCCAATTAAACAGATAAGAAACTGAGACTCACCAATCCAACACACGTCAAAAGTCGAAGAACAACGCACGACCGTCACGTTCGAGAGTCTAAGTTAAACTGAATGTCAAGAAATAAGCAGACACACGAAAATCCCAAAAACAAAAATAATACAGATTGAGCAAACATATCAATATGAGTAAAAAATTACACGGTCGGCATATTCTTTAAAATCGATAAATAAGCAGAATGCAGATTTTCGGTATCCTCCTGCTTATTAAGGCCATTTTTCTGTCTCTTAATGAATAACATCTCCGACACAAGTCTTTTATGCAAAAAAGGTTGTTCATCCAAGACTTCCACATTATCCCAATTAAATTTATGTCCCTGCAACCGATGCTCAGTAATAACAGAAGTCTGGTTGGTATTTCTGTTGATATGATTTTTATGCTCTTTAACACGAGTGGACAATAGTCTTTTGGTTTGTCCGATATAAGAAACGTCACAATCAGAACACGAAATTTTATAAACAACATTATTATGTGAGGATCTTGGTAATTTATCTTTATGAACTTTAATATATGTTTTTAATTTATTTAAACCAGTATAAGAAAGTTTAACATTTGTGTCCCGTATTGTGTTTCTAAATCTTTCAGAGAAATTTCGGACATATGGAACATTAAAAAACGAGACTCGAATATCAGACGTCGAATCCGAAAAACCTTTATTATTTACATTAATAATATCATCTTCTTTTTTATTAAATAAATATTTTAATCTGTCATGAATTGTTTTAAAAATAAAATCTATTGGGTAGCCGTTATCAATTAAAATCTCTATTATTAACTCGAGATTATTCTTGTGGAATCTTGGATGAGAAAGACGAAAAGCTCTGTCAGTCAAATAATAAATTATGCCTCTTTTGTGAATAAGAGGATGATTAGAAGTATAATTCACAAATCTTCCCGAAAAAGTTGGTTTGTGATACCAGTCAAAAATTAAAAACCCGTTTTCTAAAATTAAGGTCACGTCTAAAAAATTCAATCTATTGTCTGTTCCCTCCTCCAGTGTAAATTGTAATCTCCGATGGTATGAGTTGAAGGTATTTAACACTGATGTCTTCATAGAGGAAGGAACAGCCAATGCAACATCATCTACATAACGAACGTAAAACGGTAAATAAAACGGAAGATTTCTGATAGCCCAGCATTCTAAATCGCGCATAGTCAGATCTACTATTATCGGAGACAACGGAGAGCCCATGGGTGTGCCAAAAGTTTGTTGGTAAATCTTACCATCAAAAGTGAAAAAAGTAGAAGAAAGCACAAACCGAACTGCCAATAAGAACTTGTCACGTATAGAGCAATTATTATTTATCAAATCCCATCTGTGGGAAACACTATCAATCGCAAGCTCGATAGGGACATTGGTAAACAACGAAATAACATCAAGTGATATCAATTTACAATGATTATCAATGTAAACTCCGCCATATTTATCTACTAATTGGAAACTGTCTTTAATATAACTATCAGCTAACGGAACAGAGTCAAAAATAATTTTACGTAAAAATGAAGCGAGAGAATATAACGGAGTGTTAATAGAAGAAACGATGATTCTCACAATGGGCAGCCCGGCTTGTGTATCTTTGGAAGTCCATAGGCCCTCGGCAAAACACCATCATGTTAGCGCGCGATAATTATTGGCACTAACCTTTTTTACCTCGTCGCTGACTGGATTCGCGGTCCTCAGATCTATGCCAGATGGATGGATCTCGTTCAATTTATTATAATTAGTCAGGATGTGTGTGAGGATATATATATGTATATTATGTTCCAGTAAATGTATTTATTTGCGATCCGATGTGTATATATACATATATATATATTGTAGATTCGATACAGACGCCGGAGCTGCTGGTAACGCCGCCAGAATAATTACTTTCCCTGATTGTCAGACCGTGTCAAACTGTGTAACTGTGTAACTGTATAACTGTATAACTGTCTCTCGCGCTCAAATATCCTCATTTTTATACTCGCTTGTCTAAAATATTCCCACCCCAAAGCACCGGACCAATCGGAGTAATTTTACATAAAATCGTTCGGTGCTCGCGAAAACAATAATTCTTACGAACGAGAGAGATTAGGTTGACGGTCGCACAAATAAATAAAAATATAACGCATAATAAAACTAAACCGTCTAAGGACAAGTAAACGAAAATATAAATAAATAGATTAACATCTCTCTCGCTTTCCTTTCCCTTATACATACGGCAACAAAGTTAAAAATATATAAAAATGCCTACAATCAGTACAATTAAGCGCTTTATACGTCCTATTAGATATAAATTCGCGATTCTTCCATCTTACGAGAACTTCGTGGAGACAACTAATTAATTTTCTAATAGGATTCTTCTAAAATATAACAACATACGTCTTATTGTCATTAAGCAAAGTTAACATTTTATTATGATAATCAGCCTTATCGAGTGCAACAGTTACATTCCCCTTGTCCGCCCTTGTAAAAATTACATTTGGATTGTCCCGTATGAATCTCCTAGTAAAACCAAGAGAATCGACAAGCTCTCTATCTGCATTCTGCTTATTTATCGATTTTAAAGAATATGCCGACCGTGTAATTTTTTACTCATATTGATATGTTTGCTCAATCTGTATTATTTTTGTTTTTGAAATTTTCGTGTGTGTCTGCTTATTCCTTGACATTTAGTTTAACTTAGACTCTCGAACGTGACGGTCGTGCGTTGTTCTTCGACTTTTGACGTGTGTTGGATTGGTGAGTTTCAGTTTCTTATCTGTTTAATTGGGCTATATCACTCAATTTCTTTAAGTTTTGGACGTGTTTTTTTCATAGCTTCGCTATGGGCATGTCCACGCATTACTTCCGTCTTTCAACGACTGGAATTGATGAGAGGCTTGTCATGTGATGCACGTCATTATGTCTAATTTGGCTATGACTTTATGCGTTATATAATTGCTGAGTTTTTTAAAATCGATAAATAAGCAGAATGCAGATAGAGAGCTTGTCGATTCTCTTGGTTTTACTAGGAGATTCATACGGGACAATCCAAATGTAATTTTTACAAGGGCGGACAAGGGGAATGTAACTGTTGCACTCGATAAGGCTGATTATCATAATAAAATGTTAACTTTGCTTAATGACAATGAGACGTATGTTGTTATATTTTAGAAGAATCCAATTAGAAAATTAGATAGTTTTCTTATGTACGTATTTCTATATTTATATCTTTTTTTTTAATCTGATATTTCTGATAACGTAATGTTTTTTAAAAATAACTTTTTATGTTACATACTTTGTTTATTTTTGTGTTGACAGTTACTGAAGATAATCCCAAGAAAGGATCGAAACGTATAATTAAAATAATTTTTTGTCTTAGTTTTGTATATCTTTTTTTTGTTTTTTACTTACGCCTTTATCACCCGCGTTGCGGCTCTTACTGGCCTATTATTGAATTTTTATCATGCTAATTTGTTCATTCAAGTTAATGGCGATTTATTTGTACACTTTATGCAATTTCAATTTTGTCTATTTATTAGTTAATTTATGTTATGATTTTCAACTTAAAAGAAATAAATTTTGCTTCGAACAAAGTTTTTGTTTATTTTTGATTGTATCTCTTTAAGAAGGGCTCAAACGTGATTTTCTTATTCTTTATTTTTGACTTAATTTCACTTAACGTATTCATTCCCCAGAGATGCGGCGTAACATATGATACGCTCTGTATATTAAGAATTATCTATAAATTTTTCGGTTATCTTTTTGTTCTTATTATACGTATACATACGTAATTTTATATTATAAAAATTTCATTATGATAATAATATTTTTATATTATTCACAGCGTTACGAAAAATTTAGAAAATCAACGATGTTTTTGCATCGCGAAAACAACACGCAAGAAATATCCAGATTGCCTCGTCAACAAACTATTGCCATTCCGGTATCCATTTACTTATTTAACTTCATACTTCAGACATAAACTTATCGGAATGGTTAGTAATTTTTTGTTTATGATTTTTATTAACTATAAGTTGTCATAAATATTTGCAAAGATATAAAGGAATGAATTACATTTTATATTTTTAGCAAAAAAATTGTACAATCTCTCTTCTTTTGTAATCAAAACTCTGTTTGTATTTAATTTTTCTTATGTTTAATTCACTTTTTCAGATAGTAGACAGATTAGAATCAAATATATATATAAGAAATACACATTTCATAACCTATTCAGGATTAATCCAAAATAATTACAACATAGCAAGACATGGCAATTTAAGGTATAGCATATTAATACCTAATATAACATATTAAGAATAACAGTAAGAAAGAAATATCTTTCTGATGACACTTATAATTACATATGAACTGTAATGTCCATTAATAAAAGCAACTGTAATTTATAAAAGTCGTTATATGGGTTTATTTAAACAAATATTTTTAAAAGAAACAGTTAAAGAAAAACATTTTACAATTTCTCATTTTTCGCTTTGTAAATAATAAAGCCGATAAATAAAAATGTACAATATGCAGTCACAAAATTATCATATATTCACACAACAGATCAATCTGTAAATAGTTGTGTCCACATAAGTTCAGATGTTATCGACATATAAATATATATGTGTCATTCAATATTGTTGCGGACTATTTATTGACGACACTATAATGCGGAGGGAGAAACCTTCTTTATGGATTTTTGAGATCCCATATGCTTTAGGTAACGATTTGTCACTAGATCTAAGTTGATAGTATTGTTTAGACGTGATACACTCTTGATCTTGGTAATATTTAAGAATTTTGTTTAATTCACTTTCAATCTTTTTTGTGGGATTCTCTTTTATAACCTTATATGTATTATTATCACTTAGAATCTGGTTCATTTGTCTAAAGTATGTGTCTTTTTCTATTGCCACTGTAGTGTTCCCTTTGTCTGCATGTGTGAATATGATTTATTGATGTAATTTTTTATATTTGAACGTAGATTTATACATACTTTGTAAATGTTTTTATCAAGAGGTGAAAATCGGAAGTATTTTTCAAAAAAACTTTCCAATTGAGGGATCACTACCCAGGTAGCAAGCTGACGTCATTAAACGTCAAAATGACGGCATTTTGATGTCAAATGATGTCTTTGTGATGCCGATGACGTCATTTTGACGTCAGCTTGCTGCCTGGGTAAATTTCTTATTTTTTGTCGTGTATTAATATTAACCTTATGTATATTACTTTCCACGTCTTTTATAAATTCAAAAATCAATTTTTCATTATTCTGAGGAAAAAAAGAAACAAACTGTTCCCCTAATTGTATAAGTTTACAGTGTTCAATCGGGATGTCAACTTGAGTAGTGTTCACAAACTATTTTGTATTAAGTTTAAGTAATACCTCGATAGGGTTGTTATATCCATGCTTTGACATAAATGAATAATATTTTTATATATCGAACGACATGTACACCAATTGTGTTTTTGTCATAACTAATAATTTATTTGTCGAGTTATGTACGTATTTATGAAGTTATTACACACATTTTTCTGTTATTTTTAATAGGTAATATATATAAAAAATTTTTTTACAAAGCAATGTATCGTCGAAATTATAACAATAATTGTTCATAATTAAATTTATAGTATTTCGTAAGGATTAGCGGCTGAAGATGACATAAGTAAATGTTCGAAACGTTCCGCTGTGTATGATATTTCAATAATTAATAAATTGTCAAAAAATTTGCTCCAAAAAAAAGGCTTTTGTTCAATTATTTCGATTATATATATTATTATTATTCGAGCCGATCTTTTTTGTATTATATAATTGTCATTTTAAAAAGAACATTTGTTTTTTTTTTAATAACACTTCTTTCAAAATCGAGAGTGTCATGAAAATGCATTACCTGATAGACTCTTTCATCTTCAAAGGGATTGTATTGCAGTTGAAAAAAGTTTCTTTAAAAAAAATATAAGTTTTGTCAAAGATATATATATTTGAACTCGGAATTTTTATAGTATTCCATAATACTTATAAAAAAAAACTATATGTCGATAAAAAATCAATGATCCTGTAATAAGAAATTAATTAAGAATTAACGGGGAATAAAATATAAGAATTATATAACATTCTTCTTCTTTTTGTCCTTTAATACTAATACAATAATATGTCAAAATGTGTATGATACTTATTATAAAAGTTTTTTGTAAATTATTCAATTTTTCTTATGGTACATCTTCCAACTTTATTTTCTCAAATGACTGTTATAACATAAAGACAGTAATAAAATCGATGACACTCATGTTACAGTGTAATTGTATCCTTATCGTTAGTTCGAAAAACTAATATAATTTTTACTTAACTGAATTTATAAAATTCTTTGACACAATGAGACATTGTATAGGATTTTAATAAAAAATTACAATAAGCAGAATACGGTATATATATATGAGTTTGAAATTTATATACCGAACGGAAAAATTTTTATACAAAATAAGACAAGTCATCTATTGTTGTCGCATTTAATCAGTTAATATATCTTATTTTGTTATCCTTATCTACTCTAATTATTGTCAAGTAGTTATGTAGTAATTCCTTAATAGAAAAAACATATGCTTTTGTATTTCTATTTAATATGTTTCTGTAGGCCATTTATTATAACCAGTTGTAACAAAAAGGTTGTTTTTAACTAACAAGGTTTCAATATTTGTTAATCATTTTTTATTTGCCATCGTAAAAAATATTAGTATAAATAATTTTTTAATTAGTATAAATAATTTTTTAAATATTTTAATATTAGTATAAATAATTTTTAGTATAAATAATTTTTTAATATTCTTTTAACACTTTACGTATGAATGCGCAGGAGAATTTCCAAATTTTGAAATTTAGAAAAAATGGATTAGTTTATGGAAGAATATGTTGACGAGATATGCGTTGGTACAGATGAATAAATAGAATAAAATATTAATAATGTCATATTTTAATAACTGCATAATGTAAAATTTCTCTAATAATATTGATTTAATAATCATTATTTTTCTCATGCAAGATATTTGATTATATGTCTATAACCAATGGTTATAAAATATGTTCTTGTTCATTTTGTGTTTAATTTAATTTTAATTTTTAATTTTAAACTTATCTCCAATTATATAACCGTTACAGTCTCACTTTTCGCCTTTAAACCATCCGCAATTACTTAAAAATAATATTTTTCCGAGAAGATAGTAGCGTTTGTGAATTCTGTTATAATATGCGTCTTTATCTATTGTATTAAGATTTAATTTCATACTGAAGATGGTCCAAATAAAATGAAAGACCGAAACGTTTATGTTATTATATTATCTTGTATTATAAAGAATAAAAATCTTTGGCCACAATAACGGCTTCGGCTCTCAGCCCCCTTTTTCTGTGATTTTAATCTTACGAGACTTTGAGTTAACTTTTTATGAAATATGTATTGCAAAATTATAAAGACAATTATATATGCGAATGCACAAAACAAACGAATATAGATCACAATAGAAAGCATTTTTATTTTATTTGAGACAACGTAATATATTTTACTATTGTACTCAATTTCTTTACCTTTTCTCTTTTTGTGCGCATAACGTTTCACGCAGCAAGCTTATGGGAAGCCGAAAGGACCCTTAGATTTTCAGGTAAAAATTCTTCAAACGAAGTGGACAAAGCATGAAGAACGTTTCTAGCGTACATTACATTCGCACATGTGCTCTCTCCAAACGACAAATATTATAGTTACGAGTTTTTTCGCAGTGAATTGGTGTGCCTCAAGCAGCTGAAAATTAATTACACAAATATTATCCTTTGTAATCATTTTAATTTACATTATTTTGTTGTATTTGAAAGAATCCTGTTCTCAATGCCTACTGAAATAACGTCCTTGCCTGAGGAAGTGATAACTATCATTCTCGGCTACAGTGAAATTACTATTGAAGATGTCATTAACTTTAGATGTGTGTGTAAGAGATTTCAATATGCAGCCAAGTACGACAAGTTTTTCGAAAAGAAGCTTTTTGAGAGGTACTTTTTTGTCATTTGTATTTCGTAACCGCAAAATGCATCGTTTTCGTTAAAACGAATATTTAAAAAGAATAAAATAAATATACAAAATGTAAAAAATAAAAAATATATTAAAACAAACACATACAAAAATGTTAATTTTCAATATTAAAACGCACAGGAAAATAACGAAATGAAAAACAAGTCAGAAAGCAGAATACTCGCGATTACATTTCAAATATTCTCTTCAATTATTCAATTTATTAAGTTATTAAAATTGTTACATTTTGTGAAATTAATTTTTTTCTTAATTGAAAATTTTTTTAATATTAGATAAATATTTAATAGATGAAATTTTTTTATAACCATTTTTTTTGTCTTAATATATACATATATTATATTATATATCATATTTATTAGCATATTTTTTCATTTATTTTTATATTATAATAAAAGTATATATATCGGGTGTTAGAAAAGTGTCGTATGCTTAGTGCCATTCGATAAATAATGGAAATCTAAGAATAAATGTCTAATATCAGTTTTCAATGCAATTAATAGTTTCACCGCAATTGATTATTCTAATCAGTCAATTTTTAGACATAAAATATAAAATTTTTTTTGATAGAATATATTGTGAAATATTCAATTTTCGGTAATATTACTTTAATACTTTTATGTACAAAATTGAAAATTGAATATTTCACAAGATATTTTACATTTTATGTTTATAAATTTACTGATTACAATAATTTATTGCGGCGAAAATATTTATTGCATTGAAAAATGGTATTAGATATTTTTTCTTCGATTTTCATTCTCTATCGAATGGCACTAAGCATACGCGACACTTTTTAACACCCTATATATATATATATATATATATATATATATATATATATATATACACTTATATACAATATAAATTACTCGTGCGAAGAAATAACGATACATATATTAAGAAAAAACTCATTGTCACATTTGAAATTTCGAGAAGAAGAACTTTTTAAAACAATAATGTAAGTTGAAAGATTTTTCAATTTTTCTCTGATATTAATTAATTCGCGTAAAATCTCCACAGAGAGCATTATTAAATGTCGCAAAACTTGGAATCTCAGACCAATCGTCTTACTTATTCATTGTTCATCAGCGAAGAATCGTTAACTTTGTATTTTAATATTTGAGTTTTATGTATTGAAGAAGACTGTAGTGCAGTCGAAACGTTTACGTTGTATATTGTTTCTCTAATGGAATGAGAATTTAATTAGGGTAAAGTGGGATGTTGTGTGCCGGGTTTTGTTTCTGGACCATAACTTTCTCAAAAATGCATATTGTTGTAATGTTAAACATTCTATTTTTAGCTTATCTTATTGCCGAAGAACCTGTAATAGCAGTTTTTTGAATTTCGCAAATTTTGAAATTGTTTTCGAATTCTGAAAAAAAGTGTAAATTTGGGATTTTGAAAATTTGTGGGGTGTTGTGTGCTCGACTGTAAATAGTAGAAAATAGCATTTTTTGATAAATGTTCTTTATTAAACTTTGAAAAAATGAAAATATACGTTCATAATTATAATAGAAAAAAAGTTTAATCAGTTTCAGCCGCTTCGCATTGAGAACAAGTGAAATATCCTGTTTTCATATTTGCACACTTTAGATGAACAGCCCGATCGCATTTATTGCAATGAATTGCGTTATTTCTGTTCAGTTTTTTAGGCATATTGCGCATACAAATAATGCAGAAGTCGACGTCCTCCTCATCTGATGATCCAGAGGGAGGAGTTTTTGTTGCCGGTACGGTTTGCCACCGTCATTTTTTCTATACACCGAGACAATTTCATTCTACAAATATTATATGATTTGCTCACTGTCCGAATAGATTTATTTTCAATTGCAATTTCTTTTATTGCAGCAAGTAACTCAGTAATATTGGTCTTTGGCTTCGGCATACTTTTGTAAGTATTGCGAGGCATAGTGACTATGAAAATCCTGTGAAAAAAAAAAAAAATTAAAAAAAAGTAATAAAATTCCACTTCAAAAATTACTGCAATTACTTTACATTTGCATGAAAAATGCAAAGAATGCGTTAAAAATGTCTAAAATGTATGACACATGTATATGCTGCGTTGGTAAAATGTCGAAAATGGAGTGGCACACAACACCCCATATGCTACATTTCGAAATAGCCACCATAATCTCGTCACATGCTACATTAGCACAAAATCACTTTAACGATTTTGAAGGCAATAGTCCATAGATACTTTTAAATATCTGAAGATTTACCTGTCGCTTCACTTGCCTGCAAAATTGCGTGAAGAAGAATCGTCTAGAAAACTTTACGGAGCACAACGAAACGAGAACAATTCGTAAAACTTGTGGGACGCGTGCACAAGCGTCAGATGCTCATGAAAAGTGAGAGTAGGTCTAGAAACTAAGCTGACATTACGTAGATGACGTCATACTAATCCGACATGGCGGTAAACTGAGTGGCACACGACACCCCATGGCACACAACACCCCACTTTACCCTATTAATTAATCTTTATATCTTATGTAAATTTTGCTCGTATAGTTGGCTTACAATATTTATTTCTTTTAATTTTGTTAATTTATGCGAGCCTTTTATCAATTAATTGTAATATAATTCTTTTATTAATAAACATGTTAAATTATACTGTTACATAAATATGTGGAAAATAAAAATACAATAATTTGTTAATATAGCGACGTAATAAGATTGAAAATAAAGATAGCTTCTATAAAATTGTAGATATAGTTTATTTTTATTTACTTTATTTTACATTTGTAAACTACTAAAAATTAATTTTAATTTAAAATTAAACATATTTTATATTTTAATATATATTATCTACCTACTATATTTTTGCATGAAAACGAAGAGAAATGATATTTTATTAGATTTATTCTTTGAATATTCAAATTTATTCTCCAAGTATTCTATTCTTTGAGTATTACAATGTTAAGAAGTTTATTATTTTAAAAATACTATACTGGTAAAAATTGACTAAAAATTACGAAAGCTTATTATATTGTTTCGTTGTTCGTATTTCAGATGGCCTTCTGCGAAGATGTTTTATGACAAGTATAAGGAAAATGAGCAGAAAGAATCTGAAGGAAACGTACTAGAGATAGAAGAAAACATAAATTTTATTCAAACAGGCATAAATTGTGTGAGAGAATTAAAAAATTATTTATCTGAAATACTTTTTGACCAGTATTGTGACCACACATTCAACGATAGTGATATAATTAAAATATACGAAGCAATAAAAATTAAAAATATTTTTAATCGTAAAAGCTGGAAAATTAAAATTTTTGAAAAATATTGTAAACCTAAAATGTGGATAAAAAAGTTGTTCATTGCTGATGAAATTAACAGTTTATTTATACAACATTCACGGTAGGATTCCTAATATTTATTATAGTGTTATTACATTCACAGATTGATGTATCATACTTTAATATTAATTAATACATATAATTTTTAGGAAAAGTTGTTGCGATATAATCGAAACATATTGCGATATAAAATGTCTCACTATACAAAGCTATATTCGGTAGGAACTCAGTTGAAAATATTGCTAAAAACACTTGGAGATCAGCGTTCGGAAGAAATCTTTACTCTCCTGGCACAGTATTTTCAACCTCGAAAAGATGTGCGTTACTCGGACGTAAAAACATCGTTGGATAGAATCGCACAAGGTGTATTGGATTGTCTCAAAAAGATACATCCCCACCATTCAATATTCTCGACGTCCACTGCAATTTTTTCCTATTGGGAAAACAACAATATTGATGATAATCATTGGAACGAGACAGAAAGTGTCCAGATCATGGATACACTCCAGGAATATATATTTGGTAAATTAAACTTTCGATCATGCAAATTGAACGATTCAAAATTGGAATACATGTGCATAGATAATGTAAGTCCGTATGGATTATAATATATTATAATTACTGGCGACATATATATATATATATATATATATATATATTTATTATATTTAATATAACTTCTCATTCTTCTTAATTAATTTCTTTATTGTGATATTTGGCACAGGTTTTACAACATAAATTTGGTCAAGAAGTAATTGTATTAATAATATATCGCAGCGTAGCTAAAAGACTTGGTCTACGTTGCGATATTCTCTTGGATAGATACATCTCGAACGACAAGAGTACATATTGCCTATATTGGAAACTTAAATAGTAGGTAGAAATATAGGTACAGATATACAGGGTGTATCATAAGTCACGTCGCATATCTGAAAAATGAGTTTGTCAAATCATGATAAGTCGAAATTAGAGGATGATAAAATTACGTTTGAGCCTTCTTTAAAGAGTTGCTTTAATAGACAGCCCAATGCTGTAGCGAGTGAGAAATTCTCTTTTAAATCATGCTAATTTGTTCATTCAAGTTAATGGCGATTTATTTGTACACTTTATGTAATTCCGATTTTGTCTATTTATTAGTTAATTTATGTTATGATTTTCAACTTAAATAAAAATAAATTTTGCTTCGAACAAATTTTCCGTTTATTTTTGATTGTATCTCTTTAAGAAAGGCTCAAATGTGATTTTCTTATTCTTTATTTTTGACTTAATTTCACTTAACGTATTCATTCCCCAGAAATGCGGTAACTTATGATACGCTCTGTATATTAAGAATTATCTATAAATTTTTCGGTAATTTTTTTGTTCTTATTATACATATACATACATAATTTTATATTATAAAAATTTCATTATGATAATAATATTTTTATATTATTCACAGCGTTACGAATAATTTAAAAAATGAACGATGTTTTTGCATCGCGAAAACAACACGCAAGAAATATCCAGATTGCCTCGTCAACAAACTATCGCCATTCCGGTCTTCACGTATTAATTTAAATTTATACTTCAGACATGAACTTATCAAAATGGTTAGTATTTTTTTGTTTATGATTTTTATTAACTATAAGTTGTCATAAATGTTTCCAAAAAATATAAAGGAATGAATTACACTTTATATTTTAGCAGAAAAATTGTATAATCTCTCTTCTTTTGTAATCAGAACTCTATTTGTATTTAATTTTTCTCGTGTTTGATTCATTTTTCAGATAGTAGACAGATTAGAATCAAATATATATAAGAGAATGACGCATTTCATATCCTATTCGGGATTAATCCAAATGTATTACAGCATATCAAGATATCGCAATATAAGGTATTGCATATTTATACCTAATATAACATGTTAAAAATAACAGTAATAAAGAAATATCTTTCTGATGACACTTATAATTACATATGAACTGTAATGTCCATTAATAAAAGCAACTGTAATTTATAAAGGTTGTTATATAGATTTATTAAAACAATTATTTTTAAAAGAAACAGTTAAAGAAAAACATTTTACAATTTCTCATTTTTCGCTTTGTAAATAATAATGCAGATAAATAAAAATGTACAATATGCAGTCACAAAATTATCATATATTCACACAACAGATCAATCTGTAAATAGTTGTGTCCACATAAATTCAGATGTTATCGACATATAAATATATATGTGTCATTCAATATTGTTGCGGACTATTTATTGACGACACTATAATGCGGAGAGAGAAACCTTCTTTATAGATTTTTGGAATCCCATATGCTTTAGGTAACGATTTGTCATTAGATCTAAGTTAATAGTATTGTTTAGACGTGATAAACTTTTGATCTTGGTAATATTTAAGAATTTTGTTTAATTCACTTTCAATCTTTTTTGTGGGATTCTATTTTATAACCTCATATATATTATTATCACTTAAATTCTGGTTCATTTGTCTAAAGTATGTGTCTTTTTCTATTGCCACTGTAGTGTTCCTTTTGTCTGCATGTGTGAATATGATTTCTAGATATAAATTTTTATATTTGAACGTAGATTTATACAAACTTTGTAAATGTTTATCAAGAGGTGAAAATAGAAAGTATTTTTTTAAAAAACCTTTCCAATTGAGGAATCACTACCCAGGTAGCAAGCTGACGTCATTAAACGTCAAAATGACGGCATTTTGACGTCAAATGACGTCTTTGTGATGCCGATGACGTCATTTTGACGTCAGCTTGCTGCCTGGGTAAATTTCTTATTTTTTGTCGTGTATTAATATTAACCTTATGTATATTACTTTCCACGTCTTTTATAAATTCAAAAATCAATTTTTCATTTATTCTGAGGAAAAGAAAGAACAAACCGTTCCCCTAATTGTATAAGTTTACAGTGTTCAATCGGGATGTCAACTTGAGTAGTGTTCACAAACTATTTTGTATTAAGTTTAAGTAATACCTCGATAGGGTTGTTATATCCATGCTTTGACATAAATGAATAATATTTTTATATATCGAACGACATGTACACCAATTGTGTTTTTGTCATAACTAATAATTGATTTGTCGAGTTATGTACGTATTTATAAAGTTATTACACACATTTTCCTGTTATTTTTAATAGGTAATATATATAAAAAATTTTTTTACAAAGCAATGTATCGTCGAAATTATAACAATAATTGTTCATAATTAAATTTATAGTATTTCGTAAGGATTAGCGGCTGAAGATGACATAAGTAAATGTTCGAAACGTTCCGCTGTGTATGATATTTCAATAATAAATAAATTGTTAAAAAATTTGCTCCAAAAAAAAGGCTTTTGTTCAATTATTTCGATTATATATATTATTATTATTCGAGCCGATCTTTTTTTGTATTATATAATTGTCATTTTAAAAAGAACATTTGTTTTTTTTTAATAACACTTCTTTCAAAATCGAGAGTGTCATGGAAATGCATTACCTGATAGACTCTTTCATCTTCAAAGGGATTGTATTGCAGTTGAAAAAAGTTTCTTTAAAAAAAATATAAGTTTTGTCAAAGATATATATATTTGAACTCGGAATTTTTATAGTATTCCATAATACTTATAAAAAAAAACTATATGTCGATAAAAAATCAATAATCCTGTAATAAGAAATTAATTAAGAATTAACGGGGAATAAAATATAAGAATTATATAACATTCTTCTTCCTCTTGTCCTTTAATACTAATACAATAATATGTCAAAATGTGTATGATATTTATTATAAAAGTTTCTTGTAAATTATTCAATTTTTCTTATGGTACATCTTCCAACTTTATTTTCTCAAATGACTGTTATAACATAAAGACAGTAATAAAATCGATGACACTCATGTTACAGTGTAATTGTATCCTTATCGTTAGTTCGAAAAACTAATATAATTTTTACTTAACTGAATTTATAAAATTCTTTGACACAATGAGAGACATTGTATAAAATTTTAATTAAAAATTACAATAAGCAGAATACGGTATATATATATGAGTTTGAAATTTATATACCAAACGGAAAAATTTTTATACAAAATGAGACAAGTCATCTATTGTTGTCGCATTTAATCATTTAATATATCTTATTTTGTTATCCTTATCTACTTTAATTATTGTCAAGTAGTTATGTAGTAATTCCTTAATAGAAAAAACATATGCTTTTGTATTTTTATTTAATATGTTTCTGTAGGCCATTTATTATAACCAGTTGTAACAAAAAGGTTGTTTCTAACTAACAAGGTTTTAATATTTGTTAATTATTTTTTATTCGCTATCGTGAAAAATATTAGTATAAATAATTTTTTAATTAGTATAAATAATTTTTTTTTATTTTTTAAATTAGTTTAAATAATTTTTTAATATTCCTTTAACACTTTATGTATGAATGCGCAGGAGAATTTTTAAATTTTGAAATTTAGATAAAATAGATTAGTTTATGGAAGAATATGTTGGCGAGATATGCGTTGGTACAGATGAATAAATAGAATAAAATATTAATAATGTCATATTTTAATAACTGCATAATGTAAAATTTCTCTAATAATATTGATTTAATAATCATTATTTTTCTCATGCGAGGTATTTGATTATATGTCTATAACTAATGGTTATAAAATAAGTTCTTGTTCACTCTGTGTTTAATTTAATTTTAATTTTTAATTTTTAACTTATCTCCGATTATATAACCGTTACAGTCTCACTTTTTGCCTTTAAACCATCCGCAATTACTTAAAAATAATATTTTTCCGAGAAGTTAGTAGCGTTTGTGAATTCTGTTATAATATGCGTCTTTATCTATTGTATTAAGATTTAATTTCACACTGAAGATGGTCCAAATAAAATGAAAGACCGAAACGTTTATGTTATTATATTATCTTGTATTATAAAGAATAAAAATCTTTGGCCACAATAACGGCTTCGGCTCTCAGCCCCCTTCTTCTGTGATTTTAATCTTACGAGACTTTGAGTTAACTTTTTATGAAATATGTATTGCAAAATTATAAAGACAATTATTTATGCGAATGCACAAAACAAACGAATATAGATCACAATAGAAAGCATTTTTATTTTATTTGAGACAACGTAATATATTTTACTATTGTACTCAATTTCTTTACCTTTTCTCTTTTTGTGCGCATAACGTTTCACGCAGCAAGCTTATGGGAAGCCAAAAGGACCCTTAGATTTTCAGGTAAAAATTCTTCAAACGAAGTGGACAAAGCATGACGAACGTTTCTAGCGTACATTACATTCGCACATGTGCTCTCTCCAAACGACAAATATTATAGTTACGAGTTTTTTCGCAGTGAATTGGTGTGCCTCAAGCAGCTGAAAATTAATTACACAAATATTATCTTTTGTAATCATTTTAATTTACATTATTTTCTTGTATTTGAAAGAATCCTGTTCTCAATGCCTACTGAAATAACGTCCTTGCCTGAGGAAGTGATAACTATTATTCTCGGCTACAGTGAAATTACTATTGAAGATGTCATTAACTTTAGATGTGTGTGTCAGAGATTTCAATATGCAGCCAAGTACGACAAGTTTTTCGAAAAGAAGCTTTTTGAGAGGTACTTTTTTGTCATTTGTATTTCGTAACCGCAAAATGCATCGTTTTCGTTAAAACGAATATTTAAAAAGAATAAAATAAATATACAGAATGTAAAAAATAAAAAATATATTAAAACAAACACATACAAAAATGTTAATTTTCAATATTAAAACGCACATGAAAATAACGAAATAAAAAACAAGTCAGAAAGCAGAATACTCGCGATTACATTTCAAATATTCTCTTCAATTATTCAATTTATTATGTTACCAAAATTGT